ATAGAATAGCACAAAGAACAATGAAAATTCAAAAGAACCAAATGCACTCAAATATGGGTTCATTGCGTAGGGCTCGATTTTAGATGAATTTTGGTCCTAGTTTCGTATTTTTCTGAGGTCGTATGAATTAGTTATGAATTTCCGAAGTTTAATTCCTCTCTGAAAATGAAAAAGGCTGAATTAATCCTGGGCTGACATGTGTCACGCTGTGACTGGTCCACGTGGCATGCTGACGTCAGCATGACATCAGCATGACATCATCATCTTGATTCCGAGCTGACAGGTGGGGTCCTGCTGACGTCAGCTTGACGTCATCAACGTCATCCATTCCGACAGGTGGGGCCAGGGTCCCCTGGGTCACTGACTTGTGGGTCCGGTCAAAGTCAACATCAAGTCAACGGTCAACGATTCATAGTCACTGACGTGTGGGGCCAGGGCTGCTGACGTCAGCAGCTGACGTCATCGTGACGTCAGCATGACGTCACCTCGGCTGTGTCGTTACTGACAGGTGGGACCCGCGTGACGTCGTCATGACATTAGCATGACGTCACTTACTGACAAGTGGGTCCGGAGTCTCTGTGTCGCTGACATGTGGGGCCAGGTCAATAGTCAATGTTGACCGGTCAACGGTCAACTAGGTTGGGCCTCAACTGGGCTTTGGTGGGCCTAGACAGGGCTGGATTTGGGCCGGGCCCAGCCCACCACGTGGCCTCATCATAGAGTGCCATGTCGCCTTCCGGGTTTTGGGTTGGGCTCGAGTCCACGGCTCGTGGTCCATGGTGGACGCATGCGCCGGTCTACGGTGGACCGTGTCTCCTTCCGGTGAACCGCGTCCACCCTTCTCCTCTTCTCTCTGTGGTCTACGTGTACCGGGTGTACGAGTGGGCGGTCCAGGGAAGAAATTTCCCCCCCTTCCTCCACGCGGTGGGTTCCCGCCGGTGGCGTACCTCGCCGGCGAGCTCTTACAGCGGCGCTGGTGTCCAATTAAGGTGGGGAAAAGCTTCTCCAGGCCTCGGCGAACACGGTGGTGGGGTCTAGGTGGTGGCCAGGGCTTTCCAGGGCGTTGGCCACGGTGGTCGGCGGCTTGGTCATGGCGGTGCCTGCCGGTGGGACAGCTAGGGGCTGTTCTAGGGGTCCTGGTGCCCCGTTCCCGTTCAGACTGCTAGCGGGCGACAGGGTGCAGTGTCGACAGTGACCAAAAGGCGTGGCAGAGTCCGCGAGGGGTGGTGGTGCACGGCGGAGCTCCGACCGAGGTCCGGTGCTCGTGGCCAGGGCGCTGTGGCCGGCTAACGGGGTCTCGGTCTACGCGGCTACCTTCCGGTCATCACGGTGGTGCTACAGCTACACCCTGGTCCGACGAGGCGGCCGGGTGCGCAAGAGGTGGCCGCGCGCATGACGGTGGCGTCGTGAGCGCGGCGTGCGCGTGCTCTGCTATGGCGTCCATGGGGCTAGGAGGAGTCTCAGTAGCGAGGGACTCACCATCGATGTCGAAGGCGAAAGGATGGTGGTGCAGTGGAGGGTCGTGGCTGTGTAGACGGAAGCAGTGCAGTGCTGACCCGCAACAGTGATGAAGACGACGGCGTCGTCTTCGGCTCCGACGACTTCGGCCGCACGCGGGTGGCTCCGATCCTCCTCTCCTTGCTCCTCACTCGTTCCTTCTTCTTCCTCTGTCCCCTCTCTCTCTTGGCTCGGGTGTGCGGTGGATGGCCACCAGGTGGCGGCGGGGCACGGGAACGCACTTGGGCAACCGGGGCCGAGGGTTTTATAGCCGAAGCTCGGCCAGGCATGGAACGAGCGGCTGGGGATGGCCAAGGGGCGCGCGGAGGGCTATGATCGCGTCGAGGCCAGGGCTACGGGGTCGCGACGCGGCCGCGGGTGCGATGGCGAAACCGTTTTCGTGTTCCTTGGTTAGCAAGGCGGGGGACAGGGAGGCAACAAGGTCACGGCTTGGCCATGGCCATAGCAGGCGCGCGTGAGGGGGGCCAGGGTCATGCCGCGGGCGTGACTTCTATCAGACTCGGTCGGTCCGGCTGGCATTCTTGAGCGCGTCCGATCGGTTGATGGCGCGATCATGCGGCCGAGGCGGGTTGCGTGGAGCTTCCGCTCCCGTCTCTGCTCCGCGGTCGGGAAAAAGCAGGGGGGACCGAGGTGGGTGATGACACCTGGGCCCCGCTTGGCAGCGGCTTCTGTCGGGCGATGGCGTGCTGGCGTGTTGGCGCGTTGGGCCGGCGCGGTCAGGCCAGGCCTGCTTGCGGCTGCGCGTGGGCCAGCGAAGCCGGGTGAGCGAGTTGGGCTGGCTGGGGAAAGAAGCAGGCTGGGCTGACCGGTCGCTTGGGCTGCGAGGCTGGCTCCTCCCTTTTCTCTTCTTTTTGTTTTTCTTTTCTTCTCCTTTGTTTGAATTCAAATTTGGTTTGGAATTTGAATTCAAAATTGGTGTACCTTATTCATTGGAGTTTTAGGAACTTTATTTAGCTATTTTGTATAACAAAAATAGGTGTAGTTTTGTTATACAAAAATAGAAATAGTTTTCTCTTTAAGCATTTATTCTCTGGTTTGATTAACAATTACTTTATGGTTTATTTCTGTAAAGGAGTTGTTAGGCATTACATAAAGCAAATGGAAATCCAAATCACCATTTGAGTTAACAATGTATACTATATTTTATTTGTCAGTATTTGAATAAACATAATTAACAAATGACATGCCATGCTCATGAAATTGTCTAGTTAGGTTACTTCTAATGCAACACCTAGGGTTGGCTCCTATAGATGTCACTCAACATTACATAGGATAACAACAAAAAATTTTGTAGTTGTAATTTTTGGTGTGTGGATTTTTGGGTTGTTACAGCTATGGCATTTGAACCTTGACTATTGTAAGACCATTTTTTAATATCAATAAAGCTCGGTATTTTATATTAAATCTGTGTGCCAATTCTTTTATTTTTGTGCGTATTTATGGGTGATCCTGGTGCAAATACAAGTGCACTTGGACTCTCAAATTGAGGGCCCGACAAAAACATATCTAGAGCGGCCACCTGTGGCGATTTGCTTGTCAACCTGATCATCTCCCTAGCATCCTCACGTTGTAACAACACCCAAAATGGCAGCCAATTTGTTCCACTGAATGTAGCATGCAAAAAGGAAGTATTTTGTTTTTTTTTCTCGAAAACATGATCACTACGTCAACACCAAATTGCCCAAATAAGAGCTGCGCCCCTTACGAAAATGTTTTTTCCCTCCTCTCTTGCTATGTCCGTTGGCCAATTCACCAGCATACTCCCTGTGTCCAAAAAAGAGTAGTTATGGGATGTGTGCAACTCAAACTTTCTCAACTTTGACTAGGTATGTTGAAAATGAATGCAACATTTATATATCCAAATAAGTTTATTAATTATTATGATAGTATATTCAACTATCTAATGCTACTAATTATGTATTATAAAGATTAATATTTTGCTATTAATATTTTCTCAAGTTAAAAGCGTTTGACTTCTCGGGAAGTGAGAATGACATATTTTGGGACAGATGGAGTATGAGATGGGTCTAGGTGGGTATATGAACTATGTTCCAGATTGTCTTAACATGTTGACAAGAAAAAACAAATGCTTAATTGTTTCATTACAATTACAGAAACAACACTTTTGACTACCCTTCATATTTATTTTGGCTGAGTTACCCTTTGTTAAAAATACCCCTTGTTGAAGGTGTAAAAGAAAAATCTTTATTTTAAGAGGATATTTCATCTTCGAAATAATCCCAGTTAAAACCATACTTCCCCTCCGAAAGTTGAGTATTGGGTATTCTTACTATCAGGTTATGCGAAGCAATTAATTTGTCCTGCTAGGACTCTTCGAAAAGAGATTTAAGAGGCCTTTGACTCATGGCATTCTCAATAGTAGTCTGAGGATAGTAGACAATATTATATAGGATAGGAAAATGTTCTTTCAGAGGTTTGTAAGCCATCTCTTATCCTAAATGTCCTACATCCTAAAAATGTCTCGCTCCTCGGTGCTTGGTCATCGTCGTCTATGCCGGGGACTCCTCGCTCCTCGGCGCTCGGTCATCGCCGCCGACGCTGGGGACTCCTCTCTCCTCGGTGCTCGGACATCGCCAGCGACGCCGGGGACTCCTCGCTCCTCGGTGCTCGGTCATCGCCAGCGACGCCGGGGACTCTCATGCTGCTCGGATCTTGCTACGTCTCGTCGGTGTGCTATCAAGCTGCTCCATGCTGTTCGGATCAGGGTGCTGATCTTGGACAGCACGTCTGGGGTCTTGATACGCGCATGTCAGACGACGTCAGCAAGCTTTCAGACTTCTTTGACCCTGCTACAAGATTCATTCTTCATCTTCCAGCAGGCTCGGGGACTAAGTGGGCACACTTCACCTTGCGGTGAATGTGCTTGTTCTCATCTCGAGGCTACGCCTGGGGACTGGCTGCCTGCTCGGCTAGTCTTCTACTTTATGACTCTGGCACCACGTGACTGCGTCACCTACTGTCAGGCTCGGGGACTAGCTGTGGGGGTATGGCCCCAAGACATGGGCCGCACCATCGTAGGTGGCCCGGCCCACAAGATCAAGGCGTGCACGGCGCTGCTCGGCGTGCACCGTAAGACATTGTATAGTACCAAATAGGATACTTTATTTGTAACCATGTCTCTCCAGACTATATAAGGAGAGGCAGGGGTCCCCTAGCGGATAGGCTATATCAAGCTACTTGGTCGTCCAGATCAATACAATACACCAAAGACACAGGACGTAGGATATTACGTCGATCAGGCGACCCGAACCTGTCTAAATCGCTGTCTCTGTGCCTTGTGTCACCATCCGGTTCCTGATTACGCGCACCTCCACCGACAAATCTACCATCGCGGGATACCCCTCGGTGGACTGCCGAGCATATTCTGTCGACAATTTCCTTTACTCTAGTGCTGTCAATAAAAAAGAATAAGAATAATATTTACCCGGCCTGGACTAATCCTGCTGTCAACACAGATCTCCATGCTAATCATCGTGGTTGACCTTGATTGCCACAAGTGCTACCACAAGATCCGCAAGATTCTCTGCCAGCTCCAAGGTACAAAAACAAAACTAAAAGAATTACTGCACTGTAACCTCGTCAGTATGATCGTTCATCTTTAGGAGCAACAAGCAGGGACGATGATCCTACGAACGATCTCAATCATCATGATTTGCTCATGCACGCAGACCATGAGATGATCCGGACGATCTCCTTCGACAACAAGAGCAAGACGATCACCATCGTGGGGCCGTTCGACCCACAGCGGCTCGCCTGCAAGCTCCGCTGCAAGGGCGGCAAGGTGATCAAGGACGTCCACATCATCGACACCAATGGCGGCAGTGGGAAGCCTCCTCCGGAGAACATGCTAGACGGGCCAACCGCGCCGGCGTCAGCGCCAGTGAGGAACGGCAAGAAAACGAAAAAGGAGAAGCAGCCGCCGCCACCACATCCCACTGAGCGGCCTCCGCCGCCTCCGCCGCCGGAGCAGGCACCGGGACCTCCGCTCGAGACGATGATGCCGCCTCCGTCATCCCCGGTGTTGGGACACTAGAACACGGATTCACGGAGGTCGAGGCTAACATCACTCAACAACCTTGGGTCGTCTTTAAATGTTTTGCCGGAGCACCCGGTGGAGAGCCTTCGCTCGAAGGCCAAGACAGCGCGGAGACCTAGGAGGTGAAGGCGGAGGTCTACGTGGGGGACCCGGAAGGCGATCCCGCAGAGCCTTCGCCGGGCGCGGCGAGGCCTCCACCTGCAACCAACGGGACGGGCGAAGGCCTGCCCATGAGCCAACATAGGAGCGGCAGGAAGTCAAAGGCAGAGGCTCCGAAGCGAAGGGCGGATACAGCTGCGCTCTGAGCAAAGAACCAGGTTGTGTGGAAGACGGCAGAGACAGTACGACCCAAAAACTGGAAATGGGCCCTTGGTGGCCCTGAAATCGGGGCCTGAGGAACACAGGCGGTGTGGGAAGACAAAGTCAGAGAGCACCCAGAGGGTTAGAACTAGCGTAGGAATATCTCGGGAATATGCCTGAGTGGTCAGAGGGCAAGATTGTGATGTACGAAATTGGCAAGTGGTACCCCATAAAAAGGGGAAGGTGTCCTGTGTAAAAAGGGTTTTTTTATGGTGAGTACATTTATGGAACCCTAACTAAGCTTGGGCATGCTTTCCTCTTTTCATACCTTCGCCCGGGGCACCCGGATGGGCGAACGTCTTCCGAGCATTACTTGCTGGAAACCCTAATTTTACAACAGTGGCACCCACCGTGTGTTGGCCAAGCAAAACTCACAATGGCAAGGAAGAGAGTAGCCTCCTCAACGGCATCGAGGGACCCCGCACCAAGGGGAAGACCAAGGCGCAACGCCCGTAGCACCTACGCCACTGCCACGGAAGACCAAGCCACGGAAGAGCCGATCGTCGAAGACCAGCCTCTAGCTTCCGACGATTAGCAAGCCCCAGACCCAACTCCAGTGCAAGAGCTTCAACAGTTGCAGGCTCAGCTTCAAACCATGCAGCAAGAAAGAGACAGGGTCACAACGACCTTCGCTGCAAGTCAGCGAGCGATCCAAGCATCAGCTCACGCAGTAGAAATCAGGCAATAGCTAGCCATCCTATAGGCAGAGATACAAAGTATGCAGCCTTCACAACCTAGCTTCAACACATCTAATCAGCTTCACTCATCGAACCAAAGCCAACCCAACCCCCCACCATGCACTACAGCTCAACCTGCCTTCGGCACGCCTTACACTTCGCCACAAGTGCATAGAACCACCGACCCCAAGTTGCCCCTATCCTAAGGCATCCAAAACTCACCTTGGCCCACCGCTTATAAACCCAGCACTCTCCCAAAATTCAATGGGAGGTCAGATCCACGATGGCTCATAATGAGCTTTGAGGCAGCCGTGGGCTCCGCTGGTGGAAATGACACAGTCCTTGCCAAGTCTTTTGTCATTGTAGCCGAAGGCGGCACACTACCCTAGTACTCAATGCTAAAGCCAAGCTCCGTGTACTCATGGGAGGACCTCCGTGACAAAATCCTAGTAAATTTCAAAGGATTCACAAGCGAATCTTTAACTTCGATGGATCTGTTCCAATGCAAGCAAAACCAAGGAGAAGCACTGAAAGACTACTTCTAGAAGTTTGTACAAATGAAGGCAAAAGCACCAAATGTCCCGGAAGACGTCGCAATTGAGGCAGCAATCAAGGGCCTTCGCATAGGTCCCTTCGTAGGCCACCTAGCAAGAGAAAAAACAAGGACCATCGAGGACCTCTACAGCGAATTCGAGAAGTACTGCAGATCTGACAATGACCTCCATAGAAGAATAGAAGAACAAAACCAGAACAAACAGTTCCAAGGCAGCTAGTCTCAGATGCAACAAGGACAAAGTCACTAGGTCTTCAATGTAGAACAACAAGGAAGTAGCCAGCAAGGGCAGCAACCAGCGAACACAGGCTCAAGCAACCCGCACCAGAAGCAAGCTGAAGGCAGAGCAAACGGTCAAGGTAGAAATTGGAGCAGGAAACAAAACCAAAAACAGCGAAAACAATATTGCTTCTTTCACGGAGAAAACAAAGGGCACATCACCAGGGATTGCCCAGATGCCAATGAGACTCAAGAAAGGATCAAAACTAGAACAAATCCACAGCCTTCGGCGTAGCAACCCGCAAGGGAAGTAGGCCATACCTTCGCTGCACCCCACGCCAGCTGTGTAGAACCAGTACCAGGGCCATTCCTTCTCCCACTTGTTCTTCTGGGCAAAAGATATCTCCAAGCCGCCCTCCTTCTGCGCCCTCTTTGCCATAAACACACAGCTGGCGAACTGGTACTCCACCTCCACGCCGTCGACCTTTACCTTCTTGGGCTGGCGCTAAAGCTCATAATATGTGCATAAGGTGTCCCGGTCCGACGAAGCCCCATACGTCTCACAGGTATAGCAAAATTTGCTCAGCGTAAAAATACCGTTGGGCGTGAGATGATGGAGTTGTACCTTGAAGGTCTCCAAGACCAACCGAAGGAAGTAGATTGGAGGGATCCGGAGGCCACAAGCAAAAGTCCTTGAACATGACAGCCTCATCTACCTCCGGCCGAGGAACCGTCGCACCATGAGGGAGATGCCCTTTTCCCTCCAGAAAGCAACCTTCCTCCTCTAGCGATTTTATTGCCTCCTCCGTCATGAGCGAAGGCCTGAAATCCCAGGACTTGGCCATCTGAACCTTTGACTTTTTGGCAAGAGAAATAGGAACCAAGTCTCCAATGGAATCCTCGATGCCCTCGAAACCATGTTGACCTCTGTCGAAACGGACATGCACTCCTCGTACCTCTGTAGCCAACCCTCCGACCTAACGCCGAGCAAGCGGGAGAAAGGACCGCTAAAGCTGCGCCAGCGAAGGTCACAACTAGCGGGCGAAGCCACTTCTGAAGGCAGCATGAAATCAAGGAAGCAGCAGCGCAAGCAAAAATCCTAAGTCCTAAGCCACTAAAGTGAAGGTAGCACAACAACGCAGCAGCGGGATTGGAAGAGCACTAAAGCAATGAAAGCGATGGCTCGAGGAGTTCGACAGGGGCCTACTCACCGACCCCATGCTTATATAGGCCATGAGTGGATGCTTCGCGTTGCGAGCACTAATGGTCACGGTTGTTCCCCAACAGTCGCGGCCGTTTGAAAAAGCATCGGTCTCCGAGGCATCGCAACCAATCGAAAAGCAACACGTCGCCATACCGAACGGTCCAATACGGACGGCCCAAGGGGGAAGGGGGGAAAGAAAGCCTCTGCCACTCTGTCTCGGTGTCACATTTTGAGGCTCACAGCCCGCTTGCACCGGACCGCGCCCTCAAGGGGGGAACTGTTGGGACACTAGAACACGGATTCGCGGAGGTCGAGGCTAACATCGCTCAACAACCTCGGGTCGTCTTTGGATGTTTTGCAGGAGCACCCGGTGGAGAGCCTTCGCTCGAAGGCCAAGATGGCGTGGAGACTAGGGAGGCGAAGGCGGAGGTCTATGCGGGGGATCCAAAAGGCGATCCCGTCAAGCCTTCGCCGGGCGCGGTGAGGCCTCCGCCTGCAACCAACGGGATAGGCGAAGGCCTGCCCATGAGCCAGCATAGGAGCGGCGGGAAGTCAAAGGCGGAGGCTCCAAAGCGAAGGGCAGAGACACCTGCGCCCTAAGCAAAGAACCAGGTTGTGCCAATGACGGCAGAGACAGTACGAACAAAAAACTGGAAATGGGCCCTTGGTGGGCCTGAAATCAGGGCCCAAGGAACACAGGCGGTGTGGGAAGACAAAATCAGAGAGCACCCTGATTGTTAGAACTAGCGTAGGGATATCTCGGGAATATGACTGAGTAGTTAGGGGGCAAGATTGTAATGTACGAAATTGGCAAGTGGTACCCTATAAAAAGGGGAAGGTGTCCTTTGTAAAAAGGGGTTTTTTTTATAGTGAGTACATTTATGGAACCATAACTAAGCTTAGGCCTGCTTTCCTCTTCTCATACCTTTGCCCGGGTCACCCGGCTGGGCGAAGGTCTTTCGGGTATTACTTGCTGGAAACCCCAGTTTTCCGACACCCGGTCCACCACCCACCTCCGCCTGACCAGGGGATGTCCGCGATGGTGCCCCAGCCGCACTACGTCGAGGAGAAGCTGCCCAGAGCAGAGCTGGAGCCGCCGATGAAGCCGATGGACATGGCCATGCCGGTGGCACAGCACCACCAACGGCCACCGCCGCCTATGAAGGAGAGGCCGCCACCGCCGCTGCTGATGCCGACGTGCCCAGCCCGGCTCCTGGAGCAGCCGGTGGCGGAGTATGTGATCCCGATGGTGGAGATCCCGTCGTGGCCGGCGCCGCCGGTGGGGCCGTGCAGGTGCCCGTGCTGCGCGCCCTGCTACTAGGGCTACTACGAGAGCTGCAGGTGCTGCGGCAGGGTGTACGGCACTACCATTCGGCCGTTGCCGGCGCCGTGTGGTGGTGGGTACAGGCGCTGCCGGACCTTCAGCGACGACGACCCGTCGGCGGCGTGCAGCGTCATGTGATGTGGTCGGATCGTAGCATGCTGCACGCATTACATTGGATTTGAGTGATTTTTATTATGCTGGTTGGGAATTTGGGATGGCAGACGAATACGCGATGAGCTGATTATGCATGACTTGTAGAAAAATAATTGTTGATTAGGCAGGGTTGCATATTGCTGTTCATTCTCTCGATGAGCTGATTAACAGAACAGAGCACAGTTTATGTTCATACTGTCCATATCTTAATGGCAATAGACAATTGTTTTCTTTTTTATATCACAGTACTTTGTGTAATTTTTAATACAAATGGGGATCGGATTCTTCAGCTGAAGTCTATACAATCATAAAAAGGAAAAGGCTAGACCTATATATATTTTATGGGATTGGAACCATGTGCTGTGCTGGGAGGTTCAGAGCAGAGCATGGCTTCTTGCTGTTTGATGAGTGCCTTCAACATTGCTGTTAGACTCTCCAGGGGATCTGCGGATAAAGAGGCCACACCACACACCATTGATATTCTTTTCAACAACTTAGCATGCAGTTTCTCCTTAAATTTTTTTATTCCGTTGATCAAAGAGAGTGTCTGATGAGAATAAGGACAACACACACAGTGCATAGTTGCTAACAGCTTGTCACATAACGTAATACTAGTATAAAGTAAAGTCCCTGGCATCTGTTCCTGCTGTGTTCACAACGGTTCTCTACCCCAAGGGTTAGGTTATCCACAAATAAAACAAACCATCCAACAGTTGGATTTCATACAAAGCTTGAGATGCCACCCAGACCTATACCACTATAGCATAAAGTGGACACGGAGGTGGAGCAGGAGCTCCCAAGCAGAAGCTGGAGATGCCTTAAGCCCTTGCTTTCAGCCATTGCAGTTGTGTAAGAAGCCTCTGGCTCCCAAACCGCAAACTACTCGCACATGCATCCACACTTCCCTATGCTTCCCAAGCCTTTGTTTGAACTTTGAACTGCTGCTGGTGTTGTGGTCTTATTCATGCCGCACACGGCAGGTCAGGTCCTTCTTATATGCACATGGTGAAAAACAGAGAAACCGTCTGTAGAAATAGATGCTTTGGATGGCACTCCCTTAATCAAAGGCAAAATTTGTACATTTATGTGGCCATGTGGGGATGAGCTACCAATGGCACTACATTGACGTTCTCGCTAACTTTTGGGCCAATAGCGCCCATTCTGGGTTTATTCATCCAAATTAAATGGCGTGCAACCTAAAACATTGTGCCAAGCATGTGGATGAGGCTTTCCATATCCTATATATACACCTATTCAAGGAGCCCAAAGCTACACTACAAGATAGTTGACTTCACCACATTTGAGTGACACATTTCTTACTAGGTACATCGAAAGTGAAACTGCTGTACTAGAATGCTGCAGCTGGCATGTCTCTTAGAGATTTCTTTTCTTCATGGTTTCAAAGCATCCATTCTATTGAGTCCATTTTTTTATTATTCGTCTAAGATAAACGTCAAATTATAAATAAATCACCAATTGTCATGTAGTAAGAACAATCATCAGTGTCAACATTGCAAAAAAAGAAGAGAAATACATGTAATTCAATAAGAGTACAAACATTGGACAATCCAATAGTTATCATTCCATGATTACAACTATAAAGTTTTGTAATAAACTGGCAAAAAACTTTAGGAATAGAGTGTTTTTCTGTGAGGCGTAGTTCAGAGACAAGTTCCCTAATCATAGATCTAGGATTATCCACGAACTTCCAACTGCAGGCAATGAATTCCTTGGTGCTCTGCTCCATCTTGAGAGGATATGACAATGCTGAAACAGAGGAAGAAAGCACATTGTCCCATCCCTGATACGTTTCTCAAGCAGATTTTAGCAGGTTTGACTGAACTTCGTGGTAAGTTCCTCACAACTTGTAAAATTAACATATGCAATAGCTTAAATAATGTTTACAAAGGAATGAATGCAAAAGCAGTGTAAAAGCATGGTCTCCTGCATCTGTTGCTGCTGTGGTTTTCCTCAGGTTCACGTATGTTTGGGTGGCTGCTGGCTGGAGAATGTAAAACGAACTGTGCAATACAACAGTTCGATTTCGCACAAACCAAGAGGTGCTGCCGGATCTATAGCGGGATAGCATGAAGTGGAGGCAGGGGCTTAGCCATTGCTTCCTAGTTCCAACAGAACAAGCTGGAGCTTCCAGCTGTCTTGCTGGCACCTACTGCTGTCGTGCAACGGGACTCTGCCTCTGAAACTCCAAACTACTCCAACAAGCATCTATGCTTCCCTATGCTTCCTAAGCCTTTGATGCAACGAAAAGGTGTGGTGCCAAACCAAGAACCGGCACAGATTTATCTTGAGCTGCTGCTGGCCTGCTGCTATTGTGGCTTATTGATGCCGAAGAGACCATCTTTCTTATATACATAGGTAGTGTTTAGTTCCCAAAATTTTACAAATTTTTTCAAGATTCTCCGTATTAGACTATGATTGGATACTAATTGTCCAAGAGACGAATCTTTTAAGCCTAATTAGACTATGATTAGAAACTAATTGTCAAATAACAACGAAAGTGCTACAGTACTATTGCGCCAAAAATTTCGCTAACTAAACATGGCCATAGTGTATAACAGACTGTCCGTAGAAGGGAGAAGCTTTGTGCAGGACTCCCTTAAATAAAGCGGCAACTTGCACATTTATGTGGCCACGTGGTGAAGTACCCTTGTTTGCAATTGGCGCCACAATAACATTCGAGCAGTGGCATTTTATATTTGGGGCTTTTGCGTTCATACCCTCATTTTGAATGGACATTTTTTATTTTGTCCTCCTTTTTTAAACTCCATGATCTTACTCTTTGCACGTTCGGCCGTTGCCGGCGCAGTGTGGCGGGTACAGGGCAGGCCATTGCACATTTATGTGGCCACCTAGGAATGAGCAACCCTTGGTGCCACATTGAGATTCTTGCTAACTTTTGGGCCCATAAGGCCCATTCTGGGTTTATTCATCCAAATTAAGGGTGTGTTTAGATCCAAAAAATTTTGGATTTTGGGTCACTGTAGCATTTCGTTTGTATTTGGTAATTAGTGTCTAATTATGGACTAATTAGGTTCAAAAGTTTCGTCTCGCGATTTCTCGACCAACTGTGTAATTAGTTTTTTTTTTCGTCTACATTTAGTGCTCCATGCATGTGCCGCAAGATTCGATGTGACAGTTACTATGCAAAATTTTTTGGCAACTGAACGGGGCCTAAATGGTGCGTAACCTAAAACATCGTACCTAGCTTGTGGATGAAGCTTTCCATATATATATATATACACACCAGTTCAACGAGGTCCGAAGCTAAACTATAAGTTTCCTGCCTTCACTATATTTGAGTTATGCTTATTTTATCAGCTAGTACATAGAAAGTGACACTGTTACTCAGCTAGACTAGAATGCTGCATCTGGCATATCTCTTAGACCCTATTGGGTTCCGAGGAATTAAGAGAAATTGGAAAGTAATCTAGTAATAAAATAGGAAGCACTTTCTAAATATTGGTTTCAATTCATTGGATCCAAACAGTCCCTTAGAGATTTCCTGTTTTAATAGCCTCAAAGCATCCATTCAATTGACATGTAGTAAGAACTGTCTTCACCGTCAACATTGCGAAAGAAATCGAATGCATCCGGGCCTGTTCAGCTGGTATTAAAGTCGGTTGATAAGCCAACTGAAGCTATTTTATTGTGAGAGAAAAATACTGTAGATTTAGCTGATAAGCCGGCTGATAAGTTCAATCGAACAGGCCTAAATCTGTCAAAGTACTAACATAGAACAATACAGTAGTTACTATTCCACATGATTACGACTACAGAGTTACGTAATAAACTGGCAAACAGCTTGTGAAATGGTGTACTTTTCTGTGAGGCGCAGGGCAGATACAAGTGTTGCTGTGCTCCACCTTGAGGGGATTATTCGTAACTCTTAAGATTATTCACGAACTTCCAACTGCAGTAATGAATTTCTTGGTGCATGCTCTGCTCCATCTTGAGAGGATATGACGATGCTGAAACAGAGGAAGAACCACAATGCCACTAAACTTCGTGCTCCAGGATACGCTTGTAAAGCAGATCTTAGCGCAGCTTATACAGAACTTTGTGCTAGGACAAGGACAGGAGGACAAAACGCTTTCCACAGCAAGCATATGTTAAACAGTGATCACAGATGTTGTCTCTAAGTAGTGGGAACAGCCAGATTTGTATATGAGAATACAGTGGCTGGCATCTTCCTTGAGCGTTTCTTCCTTCTAATTTTTTTTGAGGAAAGTTTCTTCCTTCTAATTTCAAAGCATCGACTCAACAGATTCTCTCTTTTGTGTGAAAAGAATACAATGATAAGCCACTGACAGCTTGAAACCACAAATTAATCTAAAAAAAGTGGAGATAGGTGTTCACCATGTACCTTCCAAAACGCCGAAGAGCTGCTAAACAAAATGTTGCTACGAAACACTTCCCGCAGAAGCTTAAGGGTCAGACAATGTTGCAAAGGTTCTGTTTGAGCCAAATAAGATGCATAGACGAATACAGATTGGACATGAACACGAGGAGTTGGTTATGAATGAATTGTAGAAAAATAAATGTTCATTAGCCTGGGTTGCATAATGCTGTTCCTCGATGACTGTACAGAGCAGAGCTCAAATGTATGTTCTTACTCTCAACGTCTCATTGGTTATAGCCAATTATTTGTTATATAACAGTACAATATATGTTTAGTGTTGAAGACAAATGGGAGCGGATTCTTCAGCTAAAGTCTGCAATCATATTGAAAGGGAAAGGGTAGAGCGACATATATAATTTATATTATTGAGGGCTCTGTGTACCATGGAATTAGAAACGAACTAGAACAGAGGTAGGCAGAGGAG